AGAGTAGACTACAATGCCGGCTGCTCACAGACTGTAAGTATGTTTTTTTATATTTAAAGGATTTGCCACTGACGATTAGTTTTGAGCAGTGTAGAGTAGCGCTTGTTGTTTGTCATTTCTCCGATCACAAATGCAGACATGGTTTTATGTTTACGCGGCGCAATGCAGCGCGTAAAAAGACAGTATAAGTCATTATAATCCGTAATTATGTCCCCACTGGGGGCTTTACTTTGCCTCATTTATAATGGGTTTTAATGTTTTTGTCTCGTTGCTCCAGCCGGACAAGGCATCACAGTATGGTAAGGGGCGTAACATTTCTGTCACACGCTTGAGGTATTCGGCCAATCACAACGCACTGGATAGCTGGCCAATCACAGCACACCTCGCTTTTCAGACCGATGAGCTTTGTAAAAATTGACGCGTTTCAGAAAGGCGGGGCATAGAGGAGAAACAATAATGTACAGTATGTGGAAAATAATGTGTTTTTTTAACCTTAAACAGCATAAACACATTTCATTACACCAAATACACAAAATAATGTTATTTTTAGCAACATCATATGACCCCTTTAAAATCATCCTTATTCAGAAATCATGAACGACTGGAAAAATCATGGTGAAGTCATGGATACTCATTGGTCAAATGGGGAGGAAACTCTGTTTTTGAAATGTGTATCTGTCTGATAGACAAATGAGTCAGATACTTTAGTAACTGCTCTGACTAATTCAGCAGTAATTCATAATATAAACAACAAAAATCTTTTTTTAAATGATTCACCCAAAGAAAAAGAAAAAAACCTGGCTCATAAGTGTCGTACAAATACAGGTTCTTTTCATGAAAAACCTTCAACATCCATTGAACATTTTCATTACACAAAAGGTTCTTTATAATGGAAAAAAAAAAATTTTTTTTACATTTTTAAAATCACACACAAAAAAAGGTTATTTTAAAAACAGTTCTCTGAAAGGTTTTTTGAGAAATCAAATAAAGTACTGCTATGGAATTGCTGAAAAAGAAAACCTTTTGTAACCTTTATTTCAGTTTTTAAATCAGCAACTTTGTAGTTTGTAAATCGGCTACTTTTAACATGATGTGTTTTTTTATTTTAATATATGTGTTTTTATTTTCTTTATGTTTTTATATTTTTAATTTACATTTAGTATTTTATCATACAATTCAAATGATTTATTTATAAAATTATTATAAAAATGTATAATTAGTATTCATTAATAATTAATTAATTATTAATTATTAATTAATTAATTTATTTATTTTATCCAAATCACATTAAACTCAGACAAACTAACAATTAAACTTTTTTTTTTTTTTTGCCATGATGCTGAAGATTCAGTAAACCCAGCTTAGTTGAGATTCCATAACGTCATGTCTGTGTCTGTACAGGTCTCCATCATGAGGGCATTTTCAGGGTGTCCGGCTCTCAAGTGGAAGTCAATGATATTAAGAACGCCTTTGAAAGAGGTGAGTCTCTCTGGACATATGCTGAGCCTTCTTTTATCTATTTCGAATCAAGTCTGCATTCTTAAAGGGTTCTTACTTTCTTGTGTCTCAGGTGAGGACCCGCTGGCTGGGGACCAAAACGATCATGATATGGACTCCATTGCTGGAGTGTTAAAGCTCTACTTCAGAGGCCTGGAGAACGCCCTCTTTCCTAAGGAAGTCTTCCATGACCTAATGTCCTGTGTCTGTGAGTGTCCGCTTTATTTTCTACACCCATGGTACACGTGCGCACTGCAGACCAGATTAGACAATGGAGAAGCTTTTGTCCTAAATAAACTCGTTTCTTGTTCATATTGTTTTTCCAGCCATGGAGAACCTCCAGGACAGAGCTGTCCACATCTGCAAAGTCCTGCTGTCTCTACCCAGCAACATCCTGGTTATCATGCGATACCTGTTCGCTTTCCTCAACCAGTAAGTTCCACCGATCAGAGCTGGTCTGGAATGAATTTTCCCACAGAAGTCATTGGGTTCTTTTGTTTGTCTGTGATTTTTAACTCAAGACAAGGTCTGTGACAATCATTTACTCCCCCTCATGTCCTTCCAACCCTGTATCACTTTCTTATGTCCAGGGAACACAAAAGTAGATGTTTTGCAGAATGTCCCAGGTGCTCTTTTCCATATGAAAAGTAAAGGACAAAAAAGCTCCTTTAATTAAATTAAATTTGGTCCATATGGCTTGTGCTCAGTGTTCCAAGTAATTCCATAGACTACTACGTTATTATTCAATTAAATTTTTTTTCTGGCAAAAAAGCTGTATGCTTTAATAACATAACATATGTCCATTCGTCAAATTTTTTTTTTACCCCTGATGAGTTTGCATCCCTGAAGGTATGAGATTTTCAGTGAATAAAGGAATAAAAATAAAGTTAGCGGTTTGGAGCAACATGACGGTGAGTAAATGACGACAGAATTATTTGGGTGAACGATTCCTTTAAACCAGCGCCAATTTACCATGTTTTATTACAGCTAACCTTAGCCCAGCATACAAAGAGCTTATGTACAGTCTAAACTTACCATTTTACAAGACCTTTTTACTACAAATTGAAATATTCTCTTACCAAAAAGAGAAAGTTGGCCTATACCCAACCTCAGCTGAGGGCTACAGCACTCAAGCCCTCCGTATCTCTGCCTCTCGTTCTTCCACTTTTTTCCACCCTGTGGTCCTTTTGAAAGACCCTCCAGACCATAACACGATCTTAGTTTCTACTCCAGCCCACCGTTGTGCACGCAGGCGTGTCTGGTTTTCCTAAAGCATCTGAACCCTTTCCAGCCCTCGTATCACAGCCAGAAGGGGGAAGCGAATGTGTGTTGAAATATGGTGTCGCCATCAAGCCACCATTAGTGCTCCCATGCTGGACGCGTCTGTAGCCCTGGGTGAATGGCTTCTCTGTTTGCTCTACGGCCGATAGATCTTTCCTCTGCTATAAAAGTCAATGGAGGTGCCAGAATAGGTCTCTGAAGAACTGCCGCTCTCTCTAATGCGCTCTAGCATTCATTACAGCCAATCATGTGCATCGTTCGTAGGTATGCATGGCATACACTCACAAATACACATCAAGAGATCTCATTTAGATGGCAATGTAGTAAGAAATAAACAAGGAGAGATAGGTAATTTTAAGCTCTTATGCAGTTGTAACTGTTTGGGCAGGACGGAGCCCATAAATTTGGTTTGGAGTCCCTACTGCTTTTATCCCAACCCCCCGTTACCCCAAAAACACTTATGGTTAAGGACACCTCTCCCAACATTTTGGACACATCCAAGTTTTCGGTAATCGAATGAAGTGGGCATACTGTGGAGTAAGAAAGGAACAAATAAAAAGGTGTAACAATTCAGAGCAGTCTCACAGACACACATAAATGGGAGAAAGCTGGCTTAGGCTCATGATAAATGAGCTGTTGCGAGGAAGTGTAGCTAGAGATTCAGTCTGGAACTCAATCTGTTTTTCACATTAGTCCAGCAGGAGCTGGTCTCTCCATGAGAATAGTCATATGATCAGGGATCATTTTAACATGTTTCTGGATAGTATAACTATTTTGTATATTTGTTGTTGTTGTTTTGTTTTTGTTTAGTTTTTTTGATATTTGGTGCACTTCAAGCCATGCATCAGTTGTTAATATATAGAAATAGAAATGTTCTTAAGTATAGTTCTTATTTTTTCTATATTTGTTTATTTATTTATAATTTTTATTTTTAGGACTTTATTCATTATGAATTAATTAATTATTAAGAAATGTTCTTCGGAGCATTTAAAGTGCTTTCTTAATGTTTTTGTGCGATATTTCTTATATAAGATAGTCTTGGGTTAATAAAAAGATGGAACGAATGCAGGTGTCAAGACGGAAGTTTAATTTCTTTTAACTTGACACAGCATCCAAAAAAAGCAAGAAGAAACATAATTGCCAAAATATAGGCTTTTCTCAGCAAATTTTGATGCACAGTAAGTCAAAATTGGGGTTTATAAAACCTTGGGAAAGTTAATAATTAGTAGTTTTTTTAATTAAAATAAATATTCATAAAATAAAAACAATCAAGATACAACACTTACTACAAACGATACAAAATATTTTGTGATGTGTGTGAGGTTGAGTGAGGAATTGTGGGAAACCAATAATTTGCTGTGTTTTAGTAGATATTCAAATTAGCTTTTAATGATTTTTTTTCTTTATTTTTTTATTTGTTTACCTGCATGTCATGTAACCATTAACAATATCAGAGAACAGTGAACATGCAAATGTGTTCTTGTTATTAAAATATTAACTTAAAATTCAAATAAATATTATATAATAGTCAAAGGAGTATGCCTGGCACACAAATGGTGATTCCTGTGTATACAATAAAATAATTGAATGTAATAATTGACATTAAATTTGCATACAACCATTTGTTAGGGATGCACTGAAATGAAAATTCTGGGCCGAAACCGAAAATTCTGGATGCACTTGGCCGAAAAAACGAAAATGCTTTTTAATATATATATATATATTTTTTTTGTAAGACTTTTTAATTTAACTCAATAATTTTAGTGATAATGAATTTAAAAAATACAAGCCAATAAAAAAAACACACTTTTATTGAAAGTTAAACAAATTAGACCGAAAATATGTTAATATGAAATATAAATATATCACTTTTATTCAGTTCTATGCAACATAATCAGATTTAACGTTTAGCGTCATTTTACCAGCGTTGCTCAGTACAGCAATACTACACCATGTTACATCACAGTAGCGCTATTGCAAACAGGAACAAATAACGATATTATAGCAATATTTGAGTGGAATTTTCATATCCGTATTTTTTTTTTTTACTCTGTATTTTTCTCTCTCTTTTAACTAGTCTGTCCCAGTACAGTGATGATAACATGATGGACCCCTACAACCTGGCTATCTGCTTCGGCCCCACACTCATGTCTGTGCCTGAGGGCCACGACCAAGTCTCCTGCCAGGCACATGTGAACGAGCTCATCAAAACCATTATTATACATCACGAGACCATCTTTCCAGGGCCCCGTGAGCTGGAGGGGCCCATCTATGACCGTGGAGGAGCCGCTGAGGAATACTGGTGAGTCTAGAGTGAATTTGGTTACAAAAAATAAAAGGAAGAAAGAAGGATGAAAATGAATCCCATAATCTTGGCAGAATTCATTGGCAGTGAATACTGGCCCCACATTTTATGGAAGCAGCTGCTCAGCCGAACCACAAAACCAGAAATGAGTTGATCAGATGAGCTTGATTTAATGCAGAATCAGTCAGACATGATGGATTGAGCATTATAAAGATAAAGAGACATTATTAGAGACCAACAGAGGCCCACAGGGAGTCAGTCACTTTTTAAAGTTCCTATGTATATTATGCTCATTTAAGCCGTCAGTTCAATGGTTGAAGGCACAGATACGTTTCCATGTATCAGCACATGACCTAGACTCCCAAAAGATGTCACCGTGAAAGCAACCAGAATAGTGGCAGGCAGCCAGACTCAAAAACCACCATCATGAGGTCTGTTTTAAAATGAAAAACGAGGTTATCCTACCCTGCTCAAGGCCAAGTGCTAATGAAATGCCCTCCTGCAGCTTTTTAATAACTGTTTTGGATGTCATAGAGGAAATGACTTCAGATTGCTGTGTCATCGTGAAAAGAAAGGTCAGGTTTGTTTGTGAGATGCAGGCTCATTTCATGTGGTTTTCATGCACGGGATTGTTTAGATTGCATGGGCGGTGTAATTAAGACTTTGAGCTGGTGAGATGGTGTGTTTTTAACTCAGGGTTCAGTCAGAGTCTCGTTTCAGCTTCCTTAAGTGTATGTGTATGTGTATGTGTGTGTGTGTGTGTGTATATATATATATATATATATATATATACACACAGTATATATATGTATACACACAGTGTATATATATATATATATATATGTACACAGGACCGGATTTACGCATAGGCATTCTAGGCACGTTCCTATGCTCACTCGTCCAGGGGGGCCCAAACACAATATATAATATATAATATTTTTGTTATACTATGGGCTATCTACAACAGTAAAAGAACCAAAACCCCAGAAGACATTGAGCAAATAAATATAACAAACAATAGGGTAAAAAATGACAAAGTATTTCCATGTCTTACACCTGTTTTATGTAGGCTATGGAAATAACGCTTTCTCTCGTTCTCTCTCACAGACGCACACATACGCACTCGCGCACACACACGGAGATGCGACCAGAAACTTGTTGTTAGCGCTGCCCCGCGAATTTATCAATAAAATAGTTTCACAGCTGAAAAGCTACATGACTTTTCTCAGTAGCGAGGTTCTTGAAGCAGTTTAACTTAAAGATTCGCTATTAGTAGACGCTGCTGCTGAATACTGC